CCAAAAACGATAGTCTGGGATGTAAAATGGCAAAAACATTAGTCTGGGACTAAATTTGGAATTGTCACCAAAGACAATGGACCTCGGGTGGAATTAACTCATTTAGGAATAAGGTTCAAATTGGCCACTGAACGTAATCTAAAAACTTTCAATTAGGCCACTGAACGAAAAAAAAAAAATACAATTAGGTCACTGAACACTCTAATCTACATTTTTGTGGCCATCACCGTATATGTTAACCATGGGCTATCATATGAATTATATATGCAATGGGTATAAGTGTTTTTTTTTTTAAAAAAAAAATTTTCAAAAAGCAAGGAGAGACGCAAGTGGAACTTGCCCCTGCCGTACTGGGAGACGCTCACTTGCTTCTCTCCTGGCCGGTCAAGGAGACACGCAAGTGGGACTTGCATGTGAAAAAAAGTGCAATTAGGTTATTGAACACTCCAATCTACACTTTTGTGGCTATCACCGTATATGTTAGCCATGAGTTATCATATGAATTATATATGCAGTGGGTATAAGTGTTTTTTTTTTAAAAAAAAAAAAAATCAAAAAGCAAGGAGAGACGTAAGTGGAACTTGCTCCTGCTGTACTGGGAGACGCTCACTTGCTTCTCTCCTGGCCGGTCAAGGAGACACGCAAGTGGGACTTGCATATTTAGTCTATATACATACGTAGATTACGAAAAACAAAATCTAAAAATTACGGAATATATTTTATGACAAAAAATGCATTTGACAAATAAGTTTGGCCTATTTTTTATTCAACTTTTAAAACTTCTTATTTTTGTCAAATTTCTTTGTTTTTGTTTTTGTTTTTTTTTTTTTTCCTATTTCTGTCATTAACAGATCAATGACTGAAATGTGCAATGTCCACCATCTATTTCCAAAAATGTGTGGTGACATTTTTTTTTTTTTTGACAAAAATGTGTAAAACTAAGTTGCCACATGCCTTTTAGGTTGTGTCCCGACAACTTTTTTTTTTTTTTCCGTATTTATCTAAAACGCAAGACGGACTTGCGGCTTCAGTATTGAATACGTAAAGCGCATTTTCAAAATGCGTTTTACGTATACGTATCACATACTCTAAAAAGCATTTAGGAGATGCGTTAAAAGTATAATACGTTTAGCATCTGGCAGTTGCGGTTTGGTACCGACGCTCCGGCTGTCGACCGTATATTAGATTATGCTGTAAAACGCAAGAAGCAGTTGCGTTTTACGTATTATACGTTAAACGCAACTGCCACACGCGTTTTTGTTATCTCCGGCGTCGGTGTCCGGTGAGTACAAAACTGCATTTTCCAAACGCGTTATGTGTATAGTACTAGTTCCACTATAAGTATTAGAGAATAGGCCAATGTTAACATAATGTTGGTTTGCTTAGTTGGTTTAGCGCATGTTTGTTCTGTAGGATGGCTTGCTTATTTGGTTTAGCACGTGTTTGTTCTGTAGGATGGCCCAAGTTTGAATCTCTTCATAAGCAAATTTTGGTCATTCTGTTTTTGTATACTACTAGTTGTAGTGTAACTATTATTAGAAAATAGATAAATGTCAATAGAAAATGGGTTTGCCTAGTTGGTTTAGTGTGTATATGAGTATCAGCATAGTCGTGTTCAAAACCTTCGAAAATTGGATCAATGACTGAAATGTGTAATGACCACCCTCTATTTCCCAAAATGTGTGGTGACTTTTCTATTACCAATTGCTATTTTTTAATACTTATACTAAACCTACAAAAAGCCAAATAATAATGTTAAACGCATAGGAGAAGATTTGAACCATTGGCAACCATATATTGAAACTAGGGATGGGCACTTCGGGTTTCGGTTCTGTTTTTTTCGGTTTCGGTTTCAGTTTTAGTTTGAAAAGTTCGGTTCGGTTCGGTTTTGGTTTCGGTTCGGTTTTGGTGAAAGTCTACTATTTGAACGTTTCTTTTTTTGCCTGACCGATTGTTCAGTTGGCTCACTTGGAGTGCCACTTGAAGTGTTTTGTTGATGACAAGATGAAGAATCATTCATCTATAGTTAATATTTGAAAAATAAAAATTATTAAAACACCAAATGTTGGGACTTACAACTTGGAGTTGAGATTTGAGGACTTGAGGAGTTAAAATTATTAATTATTATAATATTTATATATAATACTAACATTTTGTACGCGTGATGCACGAAAATTTATGTCCAACATTAAAAAATTGATAAATGTAAATAATTATAAATTATAGTTCAAATTATATTTCATAATTTCTTAAAGTAGTAAATTTTATTCATCGTATTTGAAAATTATAGAGATGAACAAAATTTATATTTTACTATTCATAGAAATTTAATTAAAATATAATCAACAATTAAAGTAATTATATAATGATTTTAATAAAATGATAATTAAAGAATAGGAAAGAGATATCATAGTTAATTATATATATATATATATATATATATATATATATATGTATGTATGTATGTATGTATGTATGTATGTATGTATGTATGTATGATAATAATGATTGAATTATGAAATTTTTAGAATTAAATAACAACGGTGTAATAACAGTATAATGGTATTTTAGTTTAACAAGAATGTAGTACTGACAATTTTATTCATTATATTTGAAGTGTGCAACATTTAATGAAAAATGTATACCTTTATTAGCATACAAATGTGAATATAGATATGAATGTGGCTATAGCTTAGTGGGTAAAGTTCTTAGTTTATAGCCAAATGAGTAAGGGTTTGAATCTCACCTTAAACATTTAATATATATATATATATATATATATATATATAAAGGAATAAAGGTCAAATAGGCCACCCAATTGCTCATGCAATTCAATCCAAAATTGACATGTTTACCTGAAAAGACAGTTACCGAATTTAAAAATATTTTTTTTTAATAATTTTAAATAAAAAAAAACTATAATTAAAATTTATATTAAAAAAAAAAAAACTATGTCGTCTTCGCCGGAGACGGAAGGATCTTCGTCTCAGGCCGTCTCCATGGCCGGGGAGATGGCCCAAGACGAAGCCGCCACTTCGTCGGCAATTTATATCCTACACCACGGCGCGCGTTGCACTATGCGCCCAGATGCAAAACGACGTCGTTTTAATTAATTTTTTTTTTAAATTTCCCGCCCTAGTGAATGGCAGTAGTTTTTTCTTTAAAAAAAAACCCGCTGTTCAAGAATGTAGATAATGTTATACTAGAATACACATAATGTTATACATGAATGTACATAATTATATAACAAAATATACATACTCTTTTTAAAAGATAATACACATAATCTAACATAATACATAATAAACATAAACTTTTAACATAATACACATCAACTCTTAACATAATACACACAAATTTTCTGATTCGGATGTACATAATTGTATAAAAAGAATGTACATAATTGTATAAAAAATACACATAACTGTATGAACCAATACACATAACGTTGTGAACAAATACACATAACGTTGTGAACAAATACACATAATCTCAGCAACTTCCTACTGCGCCTCCCAACACTACCCCAAAACGACGTCGTTTTGGGAGGCGCGCGGCGCACAGTGCTATGTGCGCCGTGGTGTAGGATATAACGATTGCACTTCGTCTCCGCCGGAGACGAAGTGGTAGGCAACTCTTGGGCCTTCTTCCAGGCCATGGAGACAGCCTGAGACGAAGGTGGCTTCGTCTCAGGCCGTCTCCATGGCCGGGGAGACGGCCCAAGACGAAGCCACCCCTTCATCTCCGGCGGAGACGAAGGGTTTTCTGTTTTTTTTTTTTATTATTTTTTTTATTTTTTAATTGTAATTTTTATTTTAAATTATAAAAAAAAATTTTTTTAAATTCGGTAACCGCCTTTACAGGTAAACAAGTCAATTTGGATTGAATTGCATGATTTTGGGTCGTTCAGGGACCCAATTGTATTCTTTTTTAGTTCGATGGCCCAATTGCAATGTGGTGCGCAGTTGATTGGCCTATTTGACCCTTATTCAAAAAAAAAAAAGCAGAAAACCGATCGATTTTTCGGTTCGGTTCGGATTTAACCCGAACCGATCGATTTCCTCAAACCAAGTACCGATTGGTTCTTCGATTTGAGGCCGAACCGGTTTGATTCGGTTCGGTTCGGATAAACCGCACCGAAATGCCCAGCCCTAATTGAAACACATGATCACCCAACTAAGCTAACACATCTTCTATTAATATTTGCTCATTTTATAATACTTATACTAAAACTAGTACAATAAAATTGATCACAATAGAGTACGCATCTGCCGGTTGCGTTTTAGGTTCCACATGGAGCCGGACAACCGGCCAGACAAATACAAAACGCAACTTGTACTTGCGTTTTTTAGTATTCGCACGTCGCCGGAATCCGGCAGTGTACAAAAATCATAAACGCATCTGACATTTGCGTTTTACGTATAATACGTAAAATGTAAATGCCAGTTGCGTTTTTACGCATACTATTCTATAGCGTATGTCAACCTAAAATGCGTTTTACGTATACGATTCCGTAACCGCAAGTCCATCTTGCGTTTTAGATAAATACGAAAAAAAAAAAAAGTTGTTGGGACACAACCTAAAACACATGTGACAACTTAGTTTTACACATTTTTATAAAAAAAAAAATCAACACACATTTTGAAAAATAGAGGGTGGTTATTACACATTTCCCTAATTAACCCATGATTCCAGCGCGCAAGCCCAGGTCTATGAAGTTTCTCGACCGCAGCTTCAGGCGTGATCGCGGTTGTGGACGCAGCTTGCAAAACAGCTCTCTGAATCTCCTAGGCCGGGGCCGCGATTCTCCAGCAACTTCCTGTCCCGAGCTTGCCAAGCGCATTCCAGCTCCCATTCCTGTCCAAAATGGTGGCAATTTTCTTTGTTCCGCAACTTAACATCTCAAAACCACCTACAATGACTATCTACTTCCGATTCATTCAACAAAACCACAATACAAGCTCTCAAAATGCACAAAAAACCACCAGAATCCGTAATTATCAGTCAGAGGGAGTGGTTAACACTTTGCAGAGGCAAGTAGAATGATATCTGAAATAAACATAGAAAAATTTATGCTTCTGAAGATTGGAAAAATCTCATAAGAGAATAAAGCTAAAAAGTAAATATCATATAGTTCCTTTGTATGATTACCCAGAACATGAATCATGCTATACTGGCTGGATCTGATTACTAATACAGATAATCTGGTTAAAGCACGATGTGAAGATATGACTTGTATCAAAGTGCATGATTGATCATTATCTTGAAGCCCTCTTTGATTATATTTATGCAAATCTATACTGTTAATGGATCTTTTGCAAGAACTGAAGAGGGTAGATAGATGAAAGTTGGAGTATAAACTTTTGCTTTTGTATTGTATTTCTTTTGAGTAACTACAAAATTGATTATATACAAGTATGGCTATACAATTATTTAGCAAGATATGATGTTTAGGATAGAGCTCCTTAATTTAATCAAGCACCTAAAAGTGCTTTCCATTGTGTTCTCAATATCCTCAAGTTGAGCTTCCAATGTCTCCAGATTGCAAGTGTTTTTGTGTTGGTATTCACACGCTACTCTTCCATTTTGAACCAATTTTGAAACCACTGACCACCTAGATGTCTTTGGCTTCAAAACTGGCATAGACAAGAAAAGCAGGACAGACTGGAAAATAGAAGTGCTCACTTCACTTGCTTCTCTTAGTGCTCTAATCACTGCTGAGATATCATGATGCACATCTAAGGGTGTTGATCCTTCAATCTCAACGTTGATTTTCTTTAGAGCTGCAACTGACTTTTTTGCATCCTTGTTCATCTTCTTTATGAATGAAGTGTATCTGGTGATGGTGGCTTCAGTACTTGAATCTCCCTTTCTCCTCCTCAGGGAGGATTGCAGATCTCTCAATTGTTCCTTCAACTGAGAGACACTATCCCTTGCTAGACCACAAATATCCAGAAGCCTCACCGATTTCTCCAATAAGCCATCAACCCACTTCTTGTTTTGATTTTGAGAGAGGGCTTGAAGGGTTTGTGGCAAGTTTAGAAGACCATCCATGCACTTGTAAAGCTGTTCTAATCCAAGAAGACCACTGCTGATTGTAGCTGCTTCTGGAGTGGCTGAGACTTGTAATGTTTTGAGCTTTGTCAGCTCTTCTTCTACTTTCTGGATGCTTGGATGTGATCTGCTGGGAAAGCTAATAGATCGGAGGTGATTGGTTTTTGCCATTGTTGTATTTTCTATCTTTGTAACAGGAAAGTAAACCCAAGCTTGTGCTGGCTAGAATAAGCTCTAGTCTTGGTTATATATTGGCAGATAGGAAGGTGTGGAGATAAGAATTGCAATGTGCCACTCCTTGTACTTAGCCAACCTGTTATTTATTTTGCCAACAAACTGTAATCATTTACAATTTTTTATTCCTCACAGGCTTGGATAAATTGATGCTGATCTCCCTTTGACTGCATTAACAAAAAGGTTTGCTTCCTCCTGCCTCCCAACCATTGAGCTATTACTGTCTGCTACATCTTTCTTAAAATATCCCAAGATCCATACATTGTGGATCAGATTCCCTTTTTTCTCATTAGTTGAGAAACATATGGCTTATTCAATCTGTTTCAGCTGCAAGAATGGAATATAAAATCTCATAATCATGAATGGGTGCAAGACGGTTGTGATTAATTAATGGTAATACATGCATGGCTTGTTGGCTGTTTTCCCTATTACATTATTCACTATTGGCTATATAGAAGGAGACATGGCTGACATAGCCTGGTTGTAAGAATCAGATCCTCGTGTGGTTTCAGCCTGCAAATTTCTTTAATTTTTGCAAATGGGTTCTGCATTTTAGTTTTACCAATAAGATCCATATTACATTTTCCTATTTCTTTAATCGTCAGAGTAACAGAATGATTAGTAGGTGTTTACTATAATGCTATCATTATATCAACACTGAGTTGGCAAAGATTTGTTTCCTCCTGGCGCGTCAGAAGGTTTATGCCTAATGACAACTTTGCACCATCCTTCACAGAAAGTGAACATAACCAAGACAATTTTGTTTTACTCACAACGTAAAATAGTACTAATTATCATAGAAAACCAGTGAATTTCTTTCAACATCAAGAATCCCCACTTATTTCTCCATTAAGTCATCAGCCCATTTCTTGTTTTGATATTGGGAGAAGGCATGAAGGAGTTGTGGTAAGTTAAGAAGATTATCCATGTACTTATAAAGCTGTTCTAATCCAAGCAGACCGCTGCAGATTGTAGCTGCTTCTGGTGGCTGATACTTGTACTGTTTTGAGCTTGTTCAGCTCTTCTTCCACTTTTTGGATGCTTGGATATTATCTGCCGGGAAAACTAATAGATGGATGTGGTTGGAGTTGCCATTCTTTGTATTTTCTCTTGTTTTAACAGGAAAGTCAACTCAACCTTGCAATGGCTAGATAAAGATCTAGGCCTGATTACATATGGTTTTTACATATTCATTCACTCATAAGTGTGGAAAAGTAATTCTCATGAAACTTAGGAATTTCCTTCCATACTTGACTTTATTGTGGCACATACAAGTTCATGAAACAATTGTAGGAAAGTATATATCTATACCCTCTTTGATTACTGTTAACGGATTATTTGCAAGAACTGGAGAGGCCTTGAGACACATAAGAGGATAGATAGATGAAAGTTGGAGTATAAACTTTTACTTTTGTATTTGTATTTCTTTTGAGTAACTACAAAATTGATTATATACAAGTATGGCTATACAATTACTTAGCAAGAGATGATGTTTAGGATAGAGCTCCTTAATTTAATCAAGCACCTAAAAATGCTTTCCATTGTGTTCTCAATATCCTCAAGTTGAGCTTCCAATGTCTCCAGATTGCAAGTGTTGTTGTGTTGGTATTCACATGCTACTCTTCCATTTTGTACCAATTTTGAAACCACTGACCACCTAGATGGCTTTGGCTTCAAAACTGGCATAGACAAGAAAAGCAGGACAGACTGGAAAATAGAAGTGCTCACTTCACTTGCTTCTCTTAGTGCTCTAATCACTGCTGAGATATCATGATGCACATCTAAGGGTGTTGATCCTTCAATCTCAACGTTGATTTTCTTTAGAGCTGCAACTGACTTTTTTGCATCCTTGTTCATCTTCTTTATGAATGAAGTGTATCTGGTGATGGTGGCTTCAGTACTTGAATCTCCCTTTCTCCTCCTCAGGGAGGATTGCAGATCTCTCAATTGTTCCTTCAACTGAGAGACACTATCCCTTGCTAGACCACAAATATCCAGAAGCCTCACCGATTTCTCCAATAAGCCATCAACCCACTTCTTGTTTTGATTTTGAGAGAGGGCTTGAAGGGTTTGTGGCAAGTTTAGAAGACCATCCATGCACTTGTAAAGCTGTTCTAATCCAAGAAGACCACTGCTGATTGTAGCTGCTTCTGGAGTGGCTGAGACTTGTAATGTTTTGAGCTTTGTCAGCTCTTCTTCTACTTTCTGGATGCTTGGATGTGATCTGCTGGGAAAGCTAATAGATCGGAGGTGATTGGTTTTTGCCATTGTTGTATTTTCTATCTTTGTAACAGGAAAGTAAACTCAAGCTTGTGCTGGCTAGAATAAGCTCTAGTCTTGGTTATATATTGGCAGATAGGAAGGTATGGAGATAAGAATAGCAATGTGATCAGCATGTGATGCAATGTGCCACTCCTTGTACTTAGCCAACCTGTTATTTATTTTGCCAACAAACTGTAATCATTTACAATTTTTTATTCCTCACAGGCTTGGATCAATTGATGCTGATCTCCCTTCGACTGCATTAACAAAAAGGTTTGCTTCCTCCTGCCTCCCAACCATTGAGCTATTACTGACTACATCTTTCTTAAAATATCCCATGATCCATAAATTGTGGATCAGATTCCCATTTTTCTCATTAGTTGAGAAACATATGGCTTATTCAATCTGTTTCAGCTGCAAGAATGGAATATAAAACCTCATAACCATGAATGAATGCAAGAGGGTTGTGATTAATTAATGGTAGTACATGCATGGCTTGTTGGCTGTTTTCCCTACTACATTATTAACAATTGGCTATATAGAAGGAGACATGGCTGACATTAGCCTGGTTGTAAGAATCAGATCACCGTGTGGTTTCAGCATTCAAATTTCTTTAATATTTGCAAATGGGTTCTGCATTTTAGTTTTACCAACAATATTCATTATACTTCTTCCTATTTCTTTAATCCTCAGAGTCGCAGAATGATTAGTAGGTGTTTACTGTAATGCTATCATTATATCAACATTGAGTTGGCAAAGATTTGTTTCCTCCTGCCTGCCAGGCATCAGAAGGTTTATGCCTAATGACAACTTTGCCCCATCCATAACAGAAAGTGAACATAACAAGACAGTTTTGTTTCACTCACAACGTAAAATAGTAATTATCTTAGAAAACCAGTGAATTTCTTTCAATACTAAACTTTTCCTTATTGCAAACATTCCAAACAAGGTTAAGAAACAGTTGTAGAAAGTTATCTCTAAACACAATGTTCCTTAACTTAGTATGCTTGCCTGGAAACATGCAATGAGAACAATAGTTTTGGGAATGATCTTATTATTGATCAATCCATGATGTTTGAAGTACATGAATATATGTATTTATAAGGAAACAAAGAGTCACAAACAGGATATGAATGCTAAATGATAATATTCCCAATAATATAGGGAGAGGGGGATGGAATTTTAGTGTGCCTAGAATACAGAGTCCTAATAACATGAACCATGCTACACTGATTGGATAATGTAAATATATATTATTTGTACACAAGTGCATATGTGTATGTTATTATCATGATGCATAAATTGATCTCAGCACATTATAGATCCCCAAGGTCATGAAAAGAGCAAAAGTGGTGATGACTCTTGTGACTTTCATCCTAGTTAACCTGCATGACTTCTGGCTTGTAATTTTATGTTTTGGCTTAGAGGGAATGTTAACACTTTACAGAGGCAAGACGAATGAAATCTGAAATAAATCCCCCAGGACAATATATGCTTCTAGAGTTCTAGAGTTTGGAAAATCTCATTAGAGAATAAAGCTAAAAAGAAAATATCATAGTTCCTTTGTATGATCACCCAGAACATGAATCATGCTATACTGAATAGATCTGATTGCTAATACAGATGCTTAAAGCATGATGTGAAGATATGAATATATGATATGTATCAAACTGCATGAATGGCTCATTATATTGATGGCCTCTTAGATTATATTTATGCAAATGTATATTGTTGGCAAATCTTTTGCAAGAACTCGGGAGGGCTTGATAAACATGAGAGGAGAGAGAAGCAAGTTGGAGTATAAACTTTTACTTTTGTATTGTATTTCTCTTGACTGACTACAAAATTGATTATATACAAGTATAGCTATACAATTACTTAGCAAGAGATGATGTTTAAGAGAGAGCTCCTTGATTTAATCAAGCACCTAAAAATGATTTGCATTGTGTTCTCAATATCCTCAAGTTCAGCTTCCAAAGTCTCCAGATTGCAAGCGTTGTATTCGCAAGCTACTCTTCCATTTTGTACCAATTTTGAGACCAGTGACCACCTAGATGGCTTAGGCTTCGAAACTGGCATAGACAAGAAAAGCAGGACAGACTGGAAAATAGAAGTGCTCACTGCACTTGCTTCTCTTAATGCTCTAATCACTGCTGAGATATCATGATGCACATCTAAGGGTGTTGATCCATCAATCTCATCATCCATTTTCTTTATAGCTGCAATTGCCTTTTTTGCATCCTTGTTCATCTTCTTTACGAATGAAGAGTATTTGGTGATGCTGGCTTCAGAACTTGAATCTCCCTTTCTTCTCCTTTGGGAGGATTGGAGATCTCTCAAGTGTTCTTTCAACTGAGAGATGCAGTCTCTTGCTAGACCACAAATATCAAGAAGCCTCACAGATTTCTCCAATAAGCCATCAACCCATTTGTTATTTTGATTTTGGGAGAGGGCTTGAAGGGTTTGTGGCAAGTTAAGAAGATCATCCATGCACTTGTAAAGCTGTTCTAATCCAAGCAGACCATTGCAGATTGTAGCTGCTTCCGGAATGGCTGATACTTGTAATGTTTTGAGCTTGGTAAGCTCTTCTTCCACTTTGTGAATGCTTGGATGTGATCTGCTGGGAAAGCTAATAGATCTGATGTGGTTGGATTTTGCCATCTTTGTATTTTCTCTCTTTGTCACAGGAAAGTAAACTCAAGCTTGTGGTGGCTAAGAATAAGCTCTAGACTTGGTTATATATTGGCAGATTGGAAGGTATGGAGATAAGAATAGCACTAGGCTGTAGCAATGTGATCAGCATGTGATGCAATGTGCTATTCCATGTTCTTAGCCAACCTGTTGTACATTTTGCCAACAAACTCTAATCATTTACAATTTTTTATTCCTCACAGGCTTGGATCAATTGATGCCTATCTCCCTTGGACTGCATTAACAAAAAGGTTTGCTTCCTCCTGCCCCCCAACCATTGAGCTATTACCGTCTACTACATCTTTTTAAAATTATCCCGTGATGCATACACTGTGGATCAGATTCCCTTTTTTCTCATTAGTCAAGAAACATATGGCTAATGGCTTATTCCATCTGTTTCAGCTGCAAGAACCTCGTGCATCAGCAAGAAATAGAGAACTTATTAAAAACCCTTCAAGATGAAGATGGAGTATAATTATATAAAACCTCTTAATCATTAATGGATACAAGTGGGTTGTGATTAATTAAAGGCAGTGCATGCATGGCTTGTCGGCTGTTTTCCCTACTACATTATTCACTATTGGCTATGTAGAAGGAGACATGGCTGACATTTGCCTGGTTGTAAGAATCAGATCACCATGTGGTTTCAGCATGAAAATTTCTTTAATTTTTGCAAATGGGTTCTGCATTTTAGTTTTACCAACAAGATTCATATTACATTTTCCTATTTCTTTAATCCTCAGAGTAACAGAACGATTAGTAGGTGTTTGCTGTAATGCTATCATTATATCCACATTGAGTTTGGAAAGATCTGTTTCCTCCTGCCTGCCAGGCATCAGAATTCAGAAGGTTGATGACTAAAAGCAACTTTGCCCCATCCTTAACATAACCAAGACAATTTTGTTTTACTTACAATGTAAAATAGTAATTGTCATAGAAAACCTGTGAATTTCTTAAGATAATATCATAGTTCCTATGTATGATCACCCAGAACATGAATCATGCTATACTGAATAGATATGATTGCTAATACAGATGCTGAAAGCATGATGCCAAGATATGATATGCATCAAACTGCATGAATGGCTCATTATATTGATGTCCTCTTAGATTATATTTATGCAAATGTATATTGTTGGCAAATCTTTTGCAAGAACTCGGGAGGGCTTGATAAACATGAGAGGAGAGAGAAGCAAGTTGGAGTATAAACTTTTACTTTTGTATTGTATTTCTCTTGACTGACTACAAAATTGATTATATACAAGTATAGCTATACAATTACTTAGCAAGAGATGATGTTTAAGAGAGAGCTCCTTGATTTAATCAAGCACCTAAAAATGCTTTGCATTGTGTTCTCAATATCCTCAAGTTCAGCTTCCAAAGTCTCCAGATTGCAAGCGTTGTATTCGCAAGCTACTCTTCCATTTTGTACCAATTTTGAGACCAGTGACCACCTAGATGGCTTAGGCTTCAAAACTGGCACAGACAAGAAAAGCAGGACAGACTGGAAAATAGAAGTGCTCACTGCACTTGCTTCTCTTAATGCTCTTATCACTGCTGAGATATCATGATGCACATCTAAGGGTGTTGATCCATCAATCTCATCATCCATTTTCTTTATAGCTGCAATTGCCTTTTTTGCATCCTTGTTCATCTTCTTTACGAATGAAGAGTATTTGGTGATGCTGGCTTCAGAACTTGAATCTCCCTTTCTTCTCCTTTGGGAGGATTGGAGATCTCTCAAGTGTTCTTTCAACTGAGAGATGCAGTCTCTTGCTAGACCACAAATATCAAGGAGCCTCAAAGATTTCTCCAATAAGCCATCAACCCATTTCTTATTTTGATTTTGGGAGAGGGCTTGAAGGGTTTGTGGCAAGTTAAGAAGATCATCCATGTACTTGTAAAGCTGTTCTAATCCAAGCAGACCACTGCAGATTGTAGCTGCTTCTGGATTGGCTGATACTTGTAATGTTTTGAGCTTGGTAAACTCTTCTTCCACTTTCTGAATGCTTGGATGTGATCTGCTGGGAAAGCTAATGGATCTGATGTGGTTGGGTTTTGCCATCTTTGTATTTTCTCTCTTTGTCACAGGAAAGAAAACTCAAGCTTGTGGTGGCTAGAATAAGCTCTAGACTTGGTTATATATTGGCAGATTGGAAGGTATGGAGATAAGAATAGCAATGTGCCATTCCTTGGACTTAGCCAACCTGTTATTTATGTTGCCAACAAACTCTGATCATTTATAATTTTTTATTCTGTATATGCTATATAGTAGGAGACATTGCTGAGATGACTATGAATATGATCACCATGTGGTTGCAGAATGCAAATTTCTTTGATTTTTTGGAATGGGAATGGTTTCTGCAATTTATTTTCACCAGCGAAACTCATAATGCAGTTTCCTATTTGTTTAATCCTCATAATGTTAACAGAATGATTAGCAGGTGTATCAGTATTGAGCTGGTGGAAGATGTTTCCTTCTCCCTGCCAGGCATCAGAAGTTTGATACCCCATAACAACTTTTCCACATTCATGACAAAAGGGGTGCACAAAACATAATCTTGACAATATTGTTTCTGTAG